TAATCAGTCATGTGGGCTGTGACTAACGGACTCTGTGTCTTCTCTGCCCTTGGCTCCCTTGGGCCTCTTGCCATTCATGCCAGAAGATCCCGGTGCTGGAATCTGCCAGGTCTCCCTCTGGGGATGCCCTTGGCGATTGCTCCTCCGCGACAGCTGCTCTGATCAAAGCGCCATTGCTGCGGCTTTTGTTATTTCACATTTTTTTGAAACAGCATGTTTTAATGGAGGCAATGCCTCACGGGCAGATGGGGATGTCCCCAGCAGAGTCTGTAACTCTTGACTTGTCTTGAACCTGGGTTTACCCATGATTAAGTGAAAGGATTTGATGATGGGCTGTGTCTATGGGTGTGTTCAGTTCCAACATTCCTTTTTGCTTTTCTCTTCTCAAGAGACCTAGAAAAACAAACACAAAAGCCCAAGCAAACAGTCATACCTGTTGCCAGCTGAGGTGACGCTGACTCACGGCAATCCTGTGCGCGCTGTCAGGTTTCCATGGCTGCAATCTCACAGTCGGTCCCTAAGTCCTCTTTGATGCCACTCAGTAGATGACAGCCACCAGCTTTTCAATCCTCGGAGGTGACTTGTCAGAGAATTAAGTGGCAAAGGGACATGAACAGTTCTGAGTTTGGGGAAGATGACCTGGGAGGCTGTGGCCAAACCACCCCCCACCCCTAAAACAAGACTGACTGGTGTTGCATCGGTTCCAGATCTCAGGGGTGGCGACCCTCCCTGGGTCAGAGTAGAGCAGAGCTGCTCCATAGGGTTGGGGCTGTGATCCTACAGGAAAGGGCGTCAGACCTTTGTTCTGCAGCACCTCTGGGTGGGTTTGGACAGCCAGCTTTTCGCTTAGCAGCCATGTGTGCAAACAGTTGTGAAGCCTGTATCTGTTGTCGTTTGGTGCCGTCGAGTCCGTTCCGGCTCATGACAACCCGGTGCCCAAACCAGCCCTGCGCCATCTCAGTCGTCTTATGTTTGAGCCCTTGTTGCCGCCACGGAGTCAATCCGTCTGGTTGACGACCCGCCTCTCGTGCACCGCCCCTCCACGTTACCAAACACAATGTCTTTGCTCCAGGGACTGAGCTCTCCTGATAACACGTCCGAAGTACGTGAAAGGAAGTCTCACCATCCTCTAAGGAGCATTCTGGCTGCACTTCTTCCAAGACAGACCTGCTGGTTCTTGGTTGGTCCATAGTACTTTTGTTATTTCTTCACCAATACCATAGTTCGAAAGCATTTTTTCCCCTTTGGTTTTCCTTATTCAATATCTAACTTTTACCTGCATATGAGCTGATTGAAAATAACCTGGCTTGGGCCTAGTGACCTTAATCCCCCAAGTAACCTTTTCGACTCTTAAAAGAGGTCCTGTGCCACAGATTTACCTAATGCAATGTGTCGTTTGATCTCAAAGGCGATAGCAGTGTCCTCATTTTCAACTCCGTGACTGTGTGTCTAAGCTGGGGATGCTGAAGGGCCCAGACCATCAGATAATCTAGTGTAGTGGTTCTCAACTTTCCTCATGCCGCCACCCTTTCATACAGTTCCTCATGTGGTGGTGGCCCCCCAACCATAACATGATTTTCATTGCTGCTTCATAAATGTCATTCTGCTACTCTTATGAATCGGGGAATTCCTGTGAAAGGGTCATTCGACCTCCAAAGGGGTCACGACCCATAGGTTGAGAACTGCTGATCTAGAGGATGAAGTGGTGGGTGGCAAGCCAGCCCAAAGAATCCCAACAATGAAACAGAGGAAACACTGGGAGGCAAAGGGCATCGAGAGAGGTCTAAATACAGGCATGCTCATATGTAAATATCTTTATATATGAC